AATCTTTTCGTTAATTTGATACGTTATCTTCCCATCTAGTGCTTTAGTTATACCTTCTATTTGATTATTTAATTGTTGTTCCAATTTTTCAAGATTATTTTTCATAATTATTTCATTTTCTTTTTTAATTATTTCGAAGTTCTCTACTATTAATGTTCTATTTTCTTCATTTAGTTTTTTATTTTCGTCTCTCATTCTTTGGTTTTCATCTATTATTTTAGTTATTTCTTCATTTATTCTTCTCAAATTTTCTTCATTTATGATTCTGTTCTCTTCATTTAATTTTCTTAGATTTTCTTCATTTATGATTTTGTTCTCTTCATTTAATTTTTCATCGATTCTTTTTTGATTCTCTTCATTTATTCTATTATTTTCTTCCACAAATTTAATCATCATCTCCTGTATAGACGTACCTTTACTTGTTTGTTCTTCCTCTTTTTTATCTTTAGATGTCGAAAGTTTCGGTGTTGTTTCTTCACCTGTGTCTCCGATGTCATGAGTTCCCGTTGTGGTTCTACTCAAAGATCTTTCTTCCCTCTCTATTTCGTCAGTTTTTGATAAAGTTCTTCCCCTAGTTTTTCTCTCGGACATCTTTATTGATTTATTTTTTAGTTTTAATTAATATAGTTTTTTACTCTAAGGATAACGATTGTATTATTAAATTGTCTTTTGAATTGCCCCACGTTGGGCGCCGAAATTGTGATGATTGTGTATTTTATTATCAAAACACAATTTTTACATATATCATAGAATATTTCGGGAGCAGGTTCAAACAGAAATTCGTCAATTCAAAAATTCGACTTAACGCTTTTTTTGTTTATTTACTTCTATCATTTCTTTTTTTTTGTTTTGTTTCCATGACTTTTATTTTTTTATATTAACGCCACCTCTTAATACTATCATAAGTGATATTATTACAATATCTATCCAGGATACTGAAATAATAAAAAAAATATATAGAAAACTATAATAAATATATAAATAGAATTTTATTAGAAAAATTGTGATTTGTAACACTTTTGCACTAACAAACGACAACATTTTCAATTAAAAACTAAATAAGTCAATAACTCAAAAAAGAAAATAAATATAAAGAAATAATGTTTAAACTAAGAAAATGGCTCTGCTTCATTAATAATTTCAGGTTCCTCTGTTTCTTCAGCACTTTCAGTTATTTTCGGCTGTAAATTTTGGAAAAAAACCATGATTCGCGGTATGTAAGGTAGCAATGTCTTTACATTGTCGTATTTTCTTTTTGAAATTTTAATTGGTTCAAGATACTTTCTATCTAACTGATCAAGTGTAGTGTATACTGGTCTTCCTCGTTTTGAGATAGACACCTGGTCGTACTCCATGAACGGAATGTTTCACGTAAAAAACTTTAGTATTTTTATTACTAAATCGAAATGAAAACGCATTAGCAAAGTCTAAGTTATGGCCAGTATTAGTGCGCGAACTGTTTTTTATGTTTGTAGGAGTAGGTGTAAAGTTTAAAAAATCTTCCTGCGTCATAACTGTGACTGCAAAAGGTGTTTTTTTATTTGATCGCCGTATAATATCGTACCATTCATTTGGACAAAAAACTTGTGGTGCATACCTTCGGTGTCGCTTTTCTATAAGTGCGAAGTCCCTATCAGAAGGAAGATGAGTATGACCACTTACGAGAAAATGGTGCGTTATTGTTTTAAATTTATTCTCCTTTACCAGTTGTAACCATAAACTCATCATTAGCCAATTTTTATTTTGCCCTGGGCAATTATCTGTAAATATAATTAGGTGGTCAATTTCGGTCTTCGTCATAAGAAATTTTAGGAGGATTGAAGCGACTTCATCACTTCCTCTTTTTGCTATATCTTCCGTCCAGAGAAACATGTGCCCTTTGCCATTTGTACAATCATGAATGCCTAAGTTGTATAACCAGATTTTTCTGCAATAAAACGCTGGACCCGTTGTTAATTTCGGGATTGGTAATGCCTGTTGTAAGTCAAATGAAATTACCAACGTTCTATTGGTGTTTTTTGATTCTTGAGTCGTGTTATTTAACAAATCCTGCATTGCTTTCGCTTTAGTTTTATGTGTCGTCAGGTCAATGTTTAGCCGAGACAATTCCTGATTTTCATTTAATTTTGTTGCAGAGTCTATTCTGATGTTAAGTTGATCACAAGTTTTGCAAGTGTCGGATTTGGGTAATTTAAAGCCAATATTGTATTCTGTACAAAATATCTGCCTATATGTGTGCTCCAGAACAGGTTTGATATGTTGTTGTTGACACCACGGAACATAATACTCAGAATAAAGACGCGATATGGTCATATCACAGTTAAGGTATACTTTCCCTAGATTTTCAGCCCTGCTATAGTGACTTTGGTATTTAGGTATTAAATCTATATGCTGTCTAACACTCTGCTTTTGCTGGTCACTAATTTGATTGGGTCTGTTCGAATGTCGGCCACGTTTATCTTTTTCTGGTACAGGAGTTCCTCTTATTTTCTTTGAAACGATGTTGTTCAGTCTACCCTTTGATTTTTGCAGACCGTGAACATTCAGAAACTCGGTTTTACACACGTTTACTGTTTGGCCATTAGCATTGACAGAATAAATCGCATTGGAAGTTCTACTTGATTCTTGTCGTTTTTGCCTTGTTTTGTAAGATCTCTTTTTCTTTGCTATAGCAATGCATCCAAAGAGATACCCATTCTGCAATTCCCATGATCCCAAATTCCAAAATTCATTGAAAATACGGTTTTCATTACCATCTAGTTTCTCTCTACATCTTTTTTTACACTCACAAGGAGGTCCTAACTCCCGAGCTGCAACAGTCTTTTTGGTTTTGTCACTAGTATACTGCTGTCCCAGATTTCTTCTTATTTTTCTTTTTGATCGTGGATATGTGTCTTCTTTTCGGTGTTTCCATCTACTTCTAGGGGTAGGTTCAGGTGTATCAGCCCTAATCCGTTTTAATGTTCTGCTCCCTGTTTCCCCATCTGATTCTTTTATACCATCGTTCTATATTGAAAAAGCAATACTAAACTAGCCACCCAATGACAACCCAATTTGCTTGCATAGAATTGACAATGGCAATACAATAACATGCCACATAAATGAAAAAAGTCATTTACCTGTTGATTTGTATCTACCTTTTCTGCATCACTATGTACATAATCTCTATCAATATCATTATCATCGACTGGAGAATCTACATCGCTCATTTCACTGTTCATTATATTAAAATTATTCGATTCACATGCACTTAAGTCACGACGCGTTACAATTTTTGTGTGACTTGTCATTGTTTATTTTCATAAAACAAATGCGTATGTAGCAACGCAAGATCATTACTACGTCATATTTGAAAAAAATGTGACTTGTCATTGTTTCACACTAAGCCTTTCAATTCTACAATTCTTTACATTATTAATATATTATTTTCATCCTCAACCCTCTTCCTCCATTTCCACACCCTCGTCTCCTCGGCCCAATCATCCCCTCATCCATCCCTTTATCTCCTCACCCCCACAATCATTCTCATCCATCGTTTCCCCTCTTCTAAGATCTGCCCTCGGTCCAACTAGGGATGCATACGATACATCGATGTATCGTCAATAAATATCGATGTTTTAATAGCGATGTTGAAGTCCATAAAACATCGATACATCGTTCATCATGAACGATATTTTATTCGATATTTGATAAAATAATCGACCATTTTTGTATAAAAGAGCAATGAAATATTTGCTACTGTTAGCAACTTCAGTGTCTAACGAACGATTATTCACAGAAGTTGGCGCAACAATTAATCAGGAAAGGAATCGCTTATTAGGCACCAGGTTGTCAAAGTTAAGGTTGAATTCCATACTTAAAAATAAATTTAAATAACATTATCTATGTGTTTTATCATATTATAATAAATGGACCGCGTTATACATCACTTGACTAAGCGACATTTTATCGTTTTTAGAGATTTTCATACTGTCTGGTAAGCAGTGCTCGAAATGGACTTTTTCACGAACCGGAACGCTTCCGAAATTTTTTATTAGGTAAATAAAAACAAAATAAGTAAAACTCGCAACTTTTATTTTGTTACAAAAGTTTCCACAATAGCTCGTATTTTTTGTCTAACTTGTAAACTCTTTTGCGGCTGGCTGCATCATCGGCTGAATGTCGACCTGAAACAAAAAAAAAATATATCTATACTGATACAACAATTTAAAAATTGTATTAGGTAGTATTAAATAGATTTTAATTACTTTTTGCTAACCACGATCGCACATATTTTTCAGGGTTAAATTGCGTTAGTGGTGGTCCAACGCAGTTTATGAATAACAGTGCAGTAGTTGTTTCCACCGACAACGATGATCGTAATGGTGTTACTATTTCATTCATTGAACTGAAATTCCTCTCACATTCGCTAGTGGATATTGGAATTGATGCAATAACGTTTAAAAGTGGTTTCAAATCATCAGGAATATCTTCTTTTCCTCCGCTCATTTTGTAGAACCTAAAGCCACGAATTATTTGTACATCATTTAAATAGAACTGAGTACACAGATGTCTAATTTCTTTATCACCATATTGTATTTCTACTTCACCATCATTTGATTTTGGCCAATTCTTCGGCTCAAGAACACTAATACTCGCTAGTAAATTAGTGTATGTGTTTTCATTTTCAATCTGACTTGTCTGACGTTTGGCATCATAACGAGAACCATGAGAAGACGAAGTTGTTATCATACGATTCCTCATGTTATTTGCTAAACTGGTATACAGCTGTGCAGTATTTATGGGTACAACTCTACCCTCATGAAGTTGTATACCTTTGTATGTATTTTCTGAGATAGAGCACAAAAGTTTATCAAGTTTGGGTCCTGGTTGAGTAGTCATGGAGTCGAAAATTCGAATTGTAGTTCTTATAGCTTTATCAGCTTCAACAAGAGTAATGTTTTGACGCTGCAATACTTCTGACAAATCTCCCATTTCATCAAGAGCGTCAGACATAACATGTAGATTTTTTTTAAATTGTACATCACTCATAATGTTGAGTAAACCATTGTATTTGGCCCTTTCTTTTGTATCTCTAGTCAAATCCTTAGAGGCTGTCTCAAAATGTTCACAAAGTGCTTGGTAGTTATGTAATACAGCATTGATTGTACGTTTGCTTGATGCAACCCATCGAACAGATAAAATTCTTCCGATTCTTAAAATTTGCGCCTCAACCGAAGCTGCTGCCTTTTTGAGCTCATTTTGGTTTTTGGGCGATAGGTGGTATAAGCTATATAATTTATCTATAAAGATTTTAAAATGGTTGATACCACTGACTTCATTAACGCAGTCATTGACAGCAAGCTCTAATCTGTGATTAGAGCAGTGCCACACTAATAAATTTGGAAATATTGTTTGCAACCGCGTTGCTACTCCGGACTTCTTTCCAATCATAACCGAGGCTCCATCACAGGCAAAGGCTATGAGGTGCTCTTCCAGAAAAGTTTGATCAAAGCCATATTTATTTAGGCATATCAAAAGATCCTTTGTGATATTTTCAGCAGTTGAATCAGTCAGCTCAATTAAGTCAAGATTAAAGACATAGGTACCTTCTAGATTTGACGAGGAATCTTCGAAATTTGACCTTATTACTACAACCAAAGTCCGTTTTTTTGCTTAGGGTTGTTGACTCGTCTATCAAAACTGAGATTTTCCTTTTATTGTTAATAATATTTTTGCATATGGCGTTTTTCATTTCAAATGCGATATGAGTCACAATGTCATGACACGTTTTGTCAGAATGTAAAATCTTACCCATAGTTAGTCCATTTGAAATTTGTAGATCTATATCAACAGGCAGATCAGTAAACGGCCTTTGATTTTTCGCAATTTTGTAAACAGTTCTGAAAACTCGTTCAGTGGTGGTAAATAATGTTTCATTCATTTTGTCAATGCCTCCTTCAATGGTCTTTTTTTTGCATGCTCTAGAATTTCTATGGCCTTTTTATGAGCTTCCGAATGTTTGTGTTCAAATATTTTTTTACGTAGGCTTGATTGCTGTGACTCCCGAGTCTTTCCATTTTCTGTCACTGAACATTCTTGCCACGATTTGAAACTCTTTTATTTTTGTCACTGTGAATGGCGAAAGAATCCACTTTGCCACAAACTACACAGCCCAAAGCCTTATTTTCGACGATGAGCCAGTTGTTTTCTTTGAATGCCTGATACTGGCTTACATTCTAACAAGCAGGTATGTGTTTGATATTATCACTGTTCTCATCGACCTTACTCGGGCCACTTGTGCTGGGAAGATTTTCATAATCTTTTTCCAGTACTGTTTTCTTATTGCTGATCGGACTAGTCTCGTCAGGCTTGTGTGGTCTCTTTTTAAGCCAATTTTGTAGATTATTCATTTTAAATAGCTACGCGACCGACACTGGACCTACAACGACATTGTAAATACAAAAATAGTAAGGTTAAAAATTTTTATTTATTGTTAGATGATTAGAATGCATACACACTGTCACTTCAATAAACTATCAACACTAATCCTATCTACCAACAAACAGGAACGAAATGAAAATAACACAGTATATATATCTTTTAAGATCAAAGACAAATGCACTTGTTGAAACTACGCTGCCAAATGCCAATGCGAACTCGGCTTAATCATGCCTATGCGCACACATATGTCGTCGTCACGAGAGATCCAATTGTACGCGCGCTTTTTAAACTGAAAAGCAGTGTCCGTCCGTACTAACGTAGGTTTTTCGCTGAAGCCAATATGACATGAGGAAAACTTTTACGAAACGGAACGGTGATTTCACGAACCAGAACGGCGTTCCGGTGCGTTCCTGTCCATTTCGAGCACTGCTGGTAAGTAAAGGTGTAACATCTTAGAAAAAATACAGAATACCGAGAGACCTAAAATTCTATTTGCTTTAAAGGATAAAGCTAAGCGCCAATCACGTTATACGATTTCAAGTGCAATTTGCATCATACGTCTAAGAACCGTCTTACCATTAGATACGACACTTAGATACACCAAGAAATTCTATAATAGAAAAAATAGATGAACCTACAATTTCGAGTCAGTGTCGTTTACAAGATGTTAGTATAAAATTGAAAGTTTGTCTTTTATTTTATATAGAATTTAAGTCTAACAAGTTTCGGCCCTTGGCCATCTTCAGAGACTCCACAAATAGATTAACATCTCTCATCTTATCCATTTTACAAACGACAGCGGAAGGTAGCGCTAGTTAGCATAAGATATCACTGTTGCACATTTTTATTGCACTAAAACTAGAACTAACACTAGACCGAATATTTCTAGTTCTAGGACTAGTGTTAGTTCTAGTTTTACACTAGCACTATCACTAGAACTAACACAAGATCTAGAACTAGAATCATTCGGGTTGTATGTGTTTT